AAATCCTCTATCCTTCCCATTTCTCTGAGGGCATTGATAATATCAGCATGATCCATAGGCCGACCGTCGGTAGTGATAGCGGATCCAGCCAACCTGTCAGCTCTTTCATTTCCATCGACGCCTGCGTGTCCCGGAACAAAAATAAAGGTGACTCCACGCACAGTGGACTTCTGTAATGATTCAAGCCATTGTCTTCGCACTGAACCTGCCTGAACCCTCCGGATCATACTCATTGAATCACTGAGTATACATATGCGGGTGTATTTTTGTATTTCAAGCCAGGCAAACGCTTGCGTCACTGCCATCACCTCCATCTTCATGCTGCTGGTTGTCATGGAGAAGGCTCTTTGAAAGCTAAAGCATAGATGTGTGTAATGTACTATATTGGCCACATTTGCACCCCCACATTCAATCCTCAGGTGGTGAATCAAAAAATTTGAATTATCTTGGAGGGTTTATGTGCACATACACATTTTAGACATCTCTAAGGCAGTTGGGATTTTTGTTTTTTAAGAGCAAGCTGAAAAGAGCAGACAAAGAGTTGAAAGAGTTATACACTAGAACAGGGGTTCTTAACCTTCCTAATGCTGCGATCTTTTAATACACGTGCTCATATTGTGGCGACCCTCCAAACATAAAGTTATTTTTGTTGCTACTTCATAACTTTTGTAAATATGTGTTTTCTGATGGTCTTAGATCCATGTGAAAGGATCGTTCGACCCCCAAAGGGGTCACGACCCACAGGCTGAGAACCGCTGCACTAGAATATTCATAACATTTGGGATTCTACTATGCAGACATTTGCAACCGTGACAGTGCTAGTTTGTGCACTCTAGTTTGTACAATCTCTGTATGTAAACTGTAATGGAAATGCCATATTCAGGTGCAGTAACACGGAACCTTTGCAAACAAACTGAACTAGAGATAACACTCTTCACTTGTACACAGCAAGGCACCTGTGTGGACAAGTAACTTTCCTCTCTGCCCAGACCAACTTTCCTGCAGACACCAAGAGCAGTTTATGTGCAGCTTTGATCCTTTTCTTCTTCAAAATATCAGTTTTTAACTTACTTGCTGACTTTCCCTGGCAACTTTTTGTGTACAAAATTATTATATTTTACATTTATAAACTCCACATCACAGCTCTCGTAAAAAAAAAAAAGGCAAATGACCTGAGTTTTGTAATTTTCAGTGGTGCTATATCATAAATCATGTTTTTATCTTTTGGCAGAATACTTTCTTGTATTTATACAATGTCTTGTTTACATGCATGAGCTTTTTTTTGGTCATAAAATGTTTGTTATCAATTGTTTTCTTTAGTGTCAATACTTGTCTTGATTACCACAACAAAGGTGCTTTTACTATAGTTGGTTTCTGCCATTATTATTATGAGTTGTTGTTTTACTAACCTTGGTTGCTGTAGCAACAGTGTCATTACTAACCTTGGTTGCTGTAGCAACAGTGTCATTACTAACCTTGGTTGCTGTAGCAACAGTGTCATTACTAACCTTGGTTGCTGTAACAACAGTGTCATTACTAACCTTGGTTGCTGTAGCAACAGTGTCATTACTAACCTTGGTTGCTGTAACAACAGTGTCATTACTAACCTTGGTTGCTATAGCAGCTGTTTCATTACTAACCTTGTTTGCCATAGCAACATTGTTTCTGTCAGCATACAGTTAATGAGCTTGCTGCATTTCATGTTTGTTTTTAAATTTAAAGGTCACAAATCTAAAGATAAAAACATTATACATTTTTGTTAATCTGTCTGTGGCACAGTGTCATCCGTTTCAAACACAAGCAGTCATAGAGGACAGAGAAGATGCAGAACATTTCTTGGATTAAATAGTTTAACTCTGAGTACTAAATTATGGTTATGTGTGCCAACATATGATGCTTGGGTGCTAAAATGTAGGAGAGTCAATTTCTGCGCTGTACACTGCATGGTCAGGTTTTGTTTGTTGAGAATTCTTTTGTGTACAGATTTTTTGACAAGTCATTGTAGTAAAAATAAAAAAATGAAGGTTTGGTGTAAACAACAACAATTATTTGTGTAATATCTGGAGATTTTGTTGAAAAGTCATTGCAGTAAAAATAAAAGGCTATCCTCCGACTAACGTCGGAAAAGATGGTGGCCGCGAAATATCCTTTCGAGCCAGAGTCGCGTGTCAATTGCGCACTAGCGGTCACGAGCACACCGCGGCTGCTGCTCGTGAGTCCTAGCCATCTAGTTTAGCCCCATTCCACGCCGCGTGGGGGAGATGTGGCGGTGGCGATAGTCGCTGTAAAACCGCCGGAGAACCGCAAATTAAGTCACGCGGCTCTGGCTCGAAAGGATATTTTGGGGCCGCCATCTTTGCAGACTGTTAGTCGGAGGATAGCCAAATAAAATTATGAGGGTTGGCGTAAACAACAATTATTATTTCTCTAATATCTTGGGATTTTTTTAGAAGTCACTGCAGTATGAAGGTTTGGCGTAAACAACAAATATTTCTGTAATATCTGGAGATGTGTATTTGATGTGTGTTATATAAAATAATGTTCATGTAAAACCTGTTTGTGCAACTGTGAATGTAATAATTACACAAGAATTGTGAGTATTGAACACGATTATGTCGTAATCATGTTATAAGTACTAGCCAATGAATAAAGAATCACAGACTTTTATTATCTTATGATGCGCAGGTTCTGTTGCTCACTGTTGATAAAATAGCGGGTTAATCCAGAATCCATCCAGTTATGCTTTGAGAAAGATGGTTCAGTTTCTTCCATTTAAAGCTAGTCGAACAGTGGATGTACACTGAGGAATGCATGCGGCCTACTGTAACAAATGTTTGTCGAAGACAACAGTGACAGACTGGGCACAAATATTTTAGAAAGGATGAGAGTTCGCGATGTCTTCTACAGCCGGGTCAAGCGCATGTTGTTACAACAGAAAAAAAACATTGCCAAAATTGATACAGCAATGCAGGTCAAAGCATAAGCTCAATAGCTACGCAATGTTATGTGCCGGTTGGATGTGAGGTCACAATGTCTTCTACAGCCGGGCCAAGCGCATGTTATTACAACAGAAAAACATACATTGCCAAAATTGATACAGCAATGCAGGTGAATTATTGTCAAAACATAAGCTCAGCTACACAATGCTATGTGCCAGTTGGGACAGTATAAAAAGGTTGTTCCTAAGAAACGCAATATCAGAAGATGTGTTTACAGTGGGTACCTTGGATATTGACTGACCACCAAAGGAGGAACAAATGGTAAACACTTGGTTCAGCGAGCAACCACAATTGCCAGAATGCCGACAGCAACTTTACCTGACCTACCCATGGTGCATAATTCATTCAGAACGAATGCTTTGTTAAATTTTGGCCACACCTGTTGATGTTTTATTGGAATGGGTTTAAGAAGAACACTGTACCATGTTTTTATTGTAACGAAGTCTCTCCATAAAGGACCAGCAGAAAGATCAGCAGTGATATAGTGCGCTGGCCTGCCGAATCAGTGGTACAGGATCAGTTCTCGGAAACAGCACAATTTTTTCCTGACGAATACAAAAATAGCAGTGAATCTTGAAATGTGAGCAAATAAATTAAGAAGAGTTTGGAAGCAACTGCGATGTGGTTCTTGAGAAGAATGTTGCGAATACCTTGGACAGCTAGAATAACCAACATTGAATGTCTGGAAATGGTTATTGAAAGTAGAATATTATATACAACAATGAGAAGGAGACAAGAGTTCTTTGGTCATGTGATGAGAAAAGGAGCTCTTGGAAAATATCGTGACAACTGGAAAGATCACTTGTAGAAGAGGCAGAGGCAGACCAAGAGAAATGATGGTAGATGGCTTAAGACAGTGGCGTGGGGGAACATCAACAGTGGAACCGATCCAGAACAACTTAGGCTAAGATCTGTGGAGATGCATGAACGCCTATGCCAGCTAGCAAGGCACTTGATGATGATGATTACAACCTAGTCTTAAAAAAACTGAACCAAAAAAAACAGTTTCCAGAAATGTATGGAAAAGAAAGGCAACAAGGAAAGGAACCAGCCACCCGACTTCACCTTTCATGAGCCAGAATATATGACCTAGATATATATATATATATATAAGGCCCAGTATTAGACATCGCAGTGGCAGAATCTGCAGTGCAACTTGCTAACCTATGTAAATCCAGTGTGTCGCTTGTTTTCACGTAGATAAATGACTGCTTGAATTATGTAACTGATTTCATGTGACCTGAAAATAAAATACTGCATGTTTAATGGGTGTTTCATTGTTCGTCTCTGGCCTACGTTGCTTCAAATATTTTTAGCAGCGCACAGCTTTTTTTATTTTAGTTGTGCCGCTCCACATTGGTGGCTGGCTGTAATGTCTCCACGGCTGACTATGGGAGTATTATGTTGTGAGGCCCCGATCTCTTTCATAGTTTGACTCTGGTACCACTGCCTGGAAGCTACAAGAACATGCTTTTTCTAAACCACCCACAGTGAAATTGAAATCTGGAAAACACTGAGGTTTGCACTGTGAAATAATTTCACTAAATCTCTAAGCCAAAAAGAAATTACAGATATAATTGAACACTCCATGGGTGCAACATAAAAATAAAATATTTAAGTATTTGAACACCTTAATAACAGGGAATCTGTTTTTAAAAAAAAGTAAAATGCAAGAGTACAAGGGATTTCAAATGAAATCCTTACAAGGGTGATATAAATTACAATAAATATGCTATTGACTAAAACTGTCAATATTTTTGTTTAGGATGTCAAGAGAGTTAAGCACATGACATCACAGTGCAGACGGTCACGCCATACAACAGTTTGAAGATGGACACATACCTCACTTTTACATCATTCATACATTTCTTTACAAAATGGAATCGTAAATGATTTTTTTTTAACAATAGCAGTAAACAGTTTTCAATAATAAAAGTACAACAAAGGTCCAAGTTTTTTCTTCTGCATGTTTATAACATCAATAACTTTCAACAGCAACATTCACATTTTGGGTGCACCGTAAGCATCTGGTAGCCTCTCTATAGAGTATCTGAAAATAACAAATTGTATATTATGTTTAAAGAAAAAACATATTACAGTTAAGTATATAAATTAAAATACATAACAAACACACAGTTGAGTTGAATCAAGAATTGACACCGCAGCACTCAGGGCATTCCCATGCATGCTGCATCCTTATCTTTAGCAGCCGGCACAGAGTTCCTATACTGATGGTACCAGTCACAATCTGGTTATATATTCGTCTAGCCTTTCCTCCGAGTGTAGCGAGCCAGCCAGACCCTCTGGTTACACCCAGGTGCCCCATTCTCTCCAGGCCATAATAATCTTCTGTCTCTACTGATCCCGTTGCTTGTTCCCAAAGGGTCTTGACCACATCTGCCTTGTCATGTATCACCTAACATGTCATGTATCACCTAACATGTCATGTAACAAAACACAGTCCAGATGTAATACTTAATAAAGCACAGCCCACACGTAATACATAATAAACAAGACGAATGGAAATAAGATACATAAAATGTACTAGGGCTATTCCAAAATTGATCTCTAATTGGCTGGTTAAAAATTAGGTTTGTCATAGCAACATTGTTTACGGCTTGCATAATCAGTAGCTCTTTAGCTCACTGCGCACCAACCTACAATCGCAATTGTTCAGTGATTCACGAACCGTGAACCAGTAAATATGGACACTGTCATTGCCTGTCCTGCCAGCTGTGTGTGATTTGTTTTATTAAGCAGAACGTCAAAATGCTCAGCTCTGACGTAACTTCTGCGTTAATGTGGATAAGGGAATATATTTCTCGACAGAACAGCGACTGGGGACGAGACGTGTTCACTTTGTGAATGGCACAGACAAAGGAGCAGTCAAAACAGTGGATGCATACTCATTCTCCAAACAAGCCCAGAAAATTTCAAGCAAACATGTGACAGTGTTCTGGGACCGCACGATTATTTTGTTGATAGAATTCATGACACTAGTGACCACAATAACGTCAGAAGTTTATTATTAAAAACTAAAGGAGCGATCGATCAAAAACAAAAGACGCAGAATGCTCACTAGTCATGTCATTATCCTGCATGACAACGCGTGGTTTTATGCTGCTGCTTGCACAAAATCTCTACCTGAGCAGGTCAGTAGGAAATTATCAACCACCCCCACCCTTAACAGTAGCCCGGAATGAACATCAGAGCTGCGGATACTGACCTTCTGCTTGAAGAAAACTTATTACACTACAAATTTCACAGCTGGTGGGACAAGCAATGACAGTGTTATTTTTTATCCGTTCGCAATTTGTGAACCATTGAACAAAGGTTGGTGTGTAGGGAGCTAAAATGCTACTATATGACGCAATCAATGAATGCTATAGCAAATAGCTTATTTTTGTCAGCCAATCGAAGGTTGATTTTAGAATAGCCCTCGTAGTTCCACTTCATGTACTGTAAAGGGGTTGGGGGCGATCGCCGGCTTTCAACTTCGGCGGGAAAATTCTGGCTGTTCATCTGCTTCTGGACTAGTCTTGTTTAAGAACCTGAGTTTTGCATGCACATCCATTTAATTTGGGTATGATGTGATAGAACATGAGACGGCCAGTTCCCTGTCTTGTGCTTGTGAAGCCGACTCATTCGACTTCTCATGTGGTTTGACATCATTACCTGGTATCCCGTTCCAGCCCCACCATAGCTCCCTAGATTATATATCATCAGTCCTCGTTATGCCTGGTGGCACATGAGGCTTTAGAGAGGACTTTCCATGCTTTCCTGTCCTGTGCAATCTTCAATGCAGTTTTCCATGTCAAAGATGCCACACTCAGGTCAATTTCCATCGTTCATCTCCATGTTGATTTTGGGCGCCCCTTTTTTCTCTTTCCCTCTGGTATCCATGTGAGAGCTGTTTTGGCAGGTGTATCAGGATTCGTTCTCTTAACGTGGCCAAGCCATTTCCATCTTCTCTTGGTTATCCTACTGTCTATAGAGTTTCTTGTTAATTTATATATGGCTAGATAATTCTAAACATATGAGGATGACATACAAAACTGACATACATTTTATCTGCCTTCTTTGACCATAAGTGGTCGGATGATTTTTTTTTAAAAACTGCCATTACTGCCTATTTGTACAACTTTAGGACAGTTATGTCTTCAGTCTGAGGTTTTAAGGCTGCATGGCTGGTGCAGTCGCCACAAAGTTTGCAACCTAAGATATCATATTATGGCTTAAAACAATCTTATATTATTCTCATAACTTTTCTCATGTAGTTTTGCTCTAAACTTTTTTTTAAGTCAACAAAAATCATTTGGTGACAAACTGGTTTCAAACCTGATCATTTTGCAAGACATGCCTTCTGGAATGACCACAGTAAATAAAACAAAACAGTATTTAAAAAAAAAAGAATTCTTTGCTGTTATGCAAATTCAACATATACCGACCTGTGTTGTATGATGTACATGATTGGCACGCCAGGTATTTTTCTAATCCGCTTTTTCAGATCTTTGTCATTTGTTGCGACAATGTAACACTTGCTCTGGGGACAAAGCAAAGCAAAAATGGCTTGTTCACTGGATAACAGATAATATTCTAAACATTTCCCGGCCGTGAATTTATATAAATTATGAGGAAAAACAACAAATCATGAGATAAAGAACAGATTTTGGCACTAAATAGACACACATTGAGAAAAATATAATTACGTCTTTACAATGGAACTTATAGGTGCATAGAAATAAAAGCAGACACTCCATCCCCCTTGGAAAGTAAAGACAGCCGGCGTAATGCTGACCACTTTACCCACCGAGTGCTGATGGTCTGTAAAAAATATGGGCGCTCTTCCCATATGCCCGATACGCCTAAAGGGGTGGAAAGGGATCTTTATTTTTTTTTTTTTTACTTCATCCCCCAAATAACAACATGGAAACAGGAACTAGAGAGTGGGTTACAAAAATGGGGAGAAAACAGGATGAGCTGTTTGCAACGGTAAAGAATATGATAACTTGAGAGCTGAATGGGAGCCTATGCTCCACTGGGGGGATTAAGGGAAGACAAAGAGAAAACAACAATATATCAGAATGTATATTTCACTCTGTCCCATCAGGTGCAATACAACAACAGAGTTTACTTCAACATATGAAGCAAGAAAAAATATGAACAGTTTTATTTGACATACACAGATTACAACTGTTGGAAGCAGTGACGATTAGGATGAGTAATCCTGCTTGCTGTAAACAAAAGGATCATGTAGTTAATCTTAGACTGTGAGCTGTACAATATAATAAGATACAGCATGATTTTTTTTTTAATTTTAGTTTCCTGCACAGAAAAAAATGATTGGATGTCATGGAGGAACATCTGCGTTGATAAGATAGCCAGGGATGGGAAACAATATAACATAACCCTTGGCCCGATAAGGGCAGTGAAGGTGTATCGATGGAAGCAATAGCACAAAAAAACCTGCCATCTTGGAATTGATGATGTGAACAAAAATTATGGCAAATGTCTGCAAATACGCACAACTCAGGTGAAGTAAAAGACCCATTTTACGGGACTGGCACATTGGGGTATATGATGCTAGATCTATAGAACTGGCATTTGATGAGGGGTATGGACAACATCACGCCAGCTGTCTTTTACTTTAAATGGCATTTCCTGGTACACATTTCAGAGTTGATCTGGGAGTCCCAGCTGCATTTCTTCTTCTTGTTACCCTTCACTAGTTGTAAACTCGGGTGGAAAGACTGGTTTTTCATCCACTTCTCTGTTCCAGAACTTGAATTTTGCGAGCATATTAATACTTTGAAGGAAACAGCCCTGATTAGTTGCCTTGTAATCCCTGTGTGGATTCCGGGGCCCTATTATAAGGTAAACAAGAATAGACCCACTGCCTATCCAAAAGAATTTCGTAAGAGTAGAATATTTGGGAGCTTTCTTCTGTCAGAGTGCATCTGCCTGAGCAGCAAGGAACCAGCAGTCTGCATACACAAATGAGCCAGATCTATCAAATGGATGCTCATGCAACACTCGGGTTCTGTAACAGCACTGCAGTCCAGAAGTGGACGAACAACTAGAACTTTCTGCCAGAGTTGACAGCTGGTGAACGCGAAGAAGAAGAAGTCGCCTTGTACAAATGGCGTATTGGAGGCAGTGGGTTTATTCTTTTTCTTTCTCTCCCCAACATGTAAAAAAAAAAGTAAAGGACCCTTTCCCACGCCTTTAGGCTTATAGGGCATATAGGGCTAGACCTATATTTTTATAGACCCATCGGTACAAGATGGGTGATGTGGTCAGCATCACGCCGGCCGCCTTTACTTTCCCGGGACTGCAGCCGGTACCCACTCAAGGCTGGGTCGACCTGGGAGCCAAGGTCGTTTTTGAAATAAGTCCGGCTCCGCCAGGGAGCGAACCCACGACCTTCCGATCCGCGGCGAGCGTCTAGCCGCTCGGCCACGGCAACTCCCACCCACAATAGTAAGCTGAATTAATTTTTAAAATCTGCCTTTATGTGGATTCCAACCCAAGACCTTAGGGCCAGCAGCGTGAGCATCTAGCCACTGTGACTCCTACATACAGACATTTAAATATTCACACAAGCGGTTCTTCTGTGTTTGCTCTTAAAAGGTACGTGGAATGCTGTGTTGTGGTTTACAGCTAAGCTGTGATATCTGCACCTTTTGGCCCAATTTCAGCAAATATTAATTTAGCCACCTTTTAGAGCAGGCTTGTTGAGGAGTAGTGTGGGACTATTCAACTGGTGGGTCCGTGAGCCCAGTCTGGTCTGCAGACCTTTGACCCATGACAATCTCCATGTTTAACATTTTGTCCCTGAGAAGATTTAGTTGAATAGTCCTGGAGTAGTATATTTATTCTTTCCTCCGAACAATTTGGCACCAGAACCAACACGGGGTATAAGCAATTCAAATAGTTTCATCCAACCAAATACTGAAGCCACTAAAACCTGTAGCAACAATTACATCAACAGAAACAAATATTCATTTTACTTTTAAAGCTGTGGCTCACTCCGTTCGCGCAGTCATCATTACTCACCTCGGTAACTCTCTTCACAATACAGTCATCAGCATGCTCATTTTGTTCTCAGTCATCATTACTCACCTCTGTAACTCTCTGCACAATACAGTTATCAGCATGCTCATTTTGTTCTCAGTCATCATTACTCACCTCTGTAAATCTTTTCACAATTCAGTCATCAGCATGCTCATTCTGTTCTCACAGCCATCATTACTCACCTCGGTAACTCTCTTAACAATACAGCCATCATTACTCACTCAGTTCTCAGCCATCATTACTTACCTCGGTAACTCTCTTCACAATACAGCCATCATTACTCACCTCGGTAGCTCTCTTCACAATACAGTCATCACTACTCACCTCGGTAACTCTCTTCACAATACAGTCATCATTACTCACCTCGGTAACTCTCTTCACAATGCAATCATCAGCATAGGTGCCCTTGTGCATGCAGGTCAGGTGGTGAAATCGTGAGTCCTTGGCAACTCTAACAAAGAGAAACAGGGATAGTATAAACATAACTGCCTTCATTCATAGTATTTATAATTGTGCTTTCTTAATTAGCCTTTGCTATTCTATTATCCCAGTGTCATGTTGTCCACAGCATGCACTCAGTATGGATAGTCTCAACTTTTTTTTGACATACATTATATGGTGTAGATTTACCTGAAGGCTTCTCTCAATTGTTCTTGTATGCAGGCTTTATATTCTAGTTTAGTTGTTCCTCTTCTACACTGATCTAGTAGAGGTACCTTACAGCTGTTATTCCACTTTTTACTTCTATCCTATGAAGAAGAGATGTTCGCAGAGTTCACTGTGCTCACACTTCTTCTTCAGCATTCCGAGTCCTTGAGGGTCATTGCTGCAGATAGCACCCGCTTCCATCCATCTCTCTGGTTGGCCTTCTCTTTACAGTTGGTGACACCAAGTGTCTGTAGGTCTGCCTGGACAAAATCTCTCCATCGTCTTCTTGTTCTGCCTCATGGTATACAACCACTTAGCTTCCTTGTGTATACAGTTTTTTCTTCTCTGTCATCTGACATTCTAAGATTATACATTTCATTGTTGCTTTTCACTCTCCATTCCCCATTGTTTGCATCTTTGATGTGTCCAAAGATGCATCATAAGCTGTTTAAAAAATGTGTAATGCACACATCCATGAATTTGTACCACAGTTAACTTCATACAAACAAGAGCACCTGTCAACATGTCAAGAAAATATGTAAGACCACTCTTTAACCCTGTCATCGTGAGAAGAAAGAATAAATCTAGCCACTTACTGCTGTGATCATCATCATCAAGTGCCTTGCCAGCTGGTGTAGGCGTTCATGCATCTCCACATATCTTGGGCTTTGGTGTTCTAGATCAACTCCACTGATAATGTTTCTCTGTGTCACTGTCTTAAGCCATCCACAATTTCTCTTGGTCTGCCTCTATCTCTTCTACCAGTGATCACAGTATTTTTCAGCACTCCATTTCTCGAGACATGACTAGAGAACTTTGTCTTCTTCTCACTGTTGTATATAATGTACTACTTTCATTAGCCATTTCCAGGCAAAAATTGTTAGTTATTCTGACAGCCCAAGGTATTCGCAATATTCTTCTGCTGTGAAACAGCCCCATAAAAGCCGATATGTAGCCATGTCGGTAGGGACCTTGTCTCGAAAAGCGTAGTTGAATTCCAGTGGTTCCTTGTGCGCAGGTGCAGTGTTTAACAGGCCCTGATATAGCAACTAAAAATAGAATTTAGAGGCCCAAAAATGGGGGGGGGGGGGGGGGGATGTGTCCTTATGTCTCCAATGGTTGTTTTTTTCTTTTTACAGTCAAGCATGACATGCACAATTTTCCTGTAATTCTCACCAATAGAGGTCATGACCTGAGTCACCCGACCCGACACATACTGTTTCGTTTTTAAGGCCCCGGGGAATGTATTCCATTGAATACTTGACTGTGTTCATATTTAACCACCTGTGAAATGAGATGTTTGAGAATGGCTGCGAATAAAACCAGAAGAGATCGAGTGAGAAACGATGTGATTACAAGAACTATTGGAACCATACCCATCGTTAAATTTATTGAGAAGCAAAGAATGAAATGGTTTGGTCACCTAATGAGAATGGAACCAACGATGCCAGCATCAAGAGCATACAACATGAAAATCGAAACAACAAGAGGCAGGGAAAGACCAAGAAGAAGATGGATTGAAGGAGTCACAGACAACTTGAGACTTCATAACATCACGGCATATGAAGCGACTGAGAGCGCCCTGGCTCGGTTGCCGATCATCTGATAGACTGCGACGCCTAGCGGCACAAGCAGATTTTGACAAAAGAAGAAGAAGAAAGTTCATATTTATTGATTACCCCTTTTATATATTTTGAAAATAACATTTTAAAGTGTATATAAATAAATGTTTAACAAATATTAGTGACATGTATAAAATGGTTTTCATGGATTTTTCAGGCGGCTCTATCAGGTTCATGACTTTTTCTAGCTTTCATATGGCGAAAGGGTAAGAAAAGGTGCAAGATCACACTTCGAGGTAAGACAGAAGATTAGCGTGACTAATACTTCCTAAAGTCCACGGCGTGTGGCGCCCGTAGTCATGTCTATCCACAACTTTCTGTCTCTTGTACTTTCAATCAATTTTGACACAGATGATCTTCCATGTCATGATGTCATATGTTCTCTTTGTCTCCCTCTGCCTCTCCTCCAACTTTCATACCATCACAATGTACTCCAGCTCTTTCCTTCTCATCATATGACCAAAGAATGTAGATTGTCTCTTTCTGACGTGGGCAATCAGTTCTCTCTGTGAGTCAGTTTTTTTCAAGACATCTTCATAACTCTTTTTATCTGCCCAGGGTATTCTCATAATTCGTCTATAAAACCACATCTCCACAACTTCCAAATAAGTTTTCGCTAATTCACAAACTCATGACTACTTACTTGAGAGCTATTCTGTACTTTCGACCTAGCTTCTCCAACTCCGCCATGACACAGTCTGTGATGTAAGGGATACCTGTTGGCAAAACAAATATCTGTATGGTAGTAAGAACACTTTACAATGACACAATATGTGAAGATAGGACTTGATAAGTGCTAGTTATCAAAAATTACATTTAAAAAAGACTAATAACACTTGACATACCGACACTAGATTTTTTTTAAAGTATCCAGAAACTTGGTACTATGGATATCGCAACCCTTTGGCCTTGATTCCATAATAGGCACCGTAAATCTGGGAGAAATGTGGCTTTTCTGCCTACCCCCAGGCGTGAACCGGAACCACAAGGAGTTCGTCACACGGTTGCTATGCAGAGGGTTTTAACCAACTGCGCTAGCGAGCGGGGCAGACACTAAAGATGATTTTCATGTTTTACACTTGGCACACCCAGTCATGTCTACATCCATATTTGTCACACAGTCATGCAATAAACACATATGTACACAGTCAGTCATGCCTAAACACATATGTACACTTAGTACACAGTCATCCTAAGGTTCATACTTACACTTGGCACAAGGTCAGTCATGCCATAAACACATATGTACACTTGGTACAGTCATCCTAAGGTTCATACTTACACTTGGCAAACAGACAGTCACGTTTACATCCATACTTACACCTGGCATACAAACAGTCACATCTTCACCTATACTTACACACCTGGCGTAAAATCACCCTCAGGTCCATACTTACACTTGGCATACAAACAGTCACATCTTCACCCATACTTACACACCTGGCGTACAATCATCCTAAGGTCCATACTTACACTTGGCATACAGACAGTCACATTTACACCTATACTCACACACCTGGCGTACAATCACCCTAATGTCCATACTTACACTTGGCATACAGACAGTCACGTCTACACCTATACTCACACACCTGGCGTACAATCACCCTAAGGTCCGTACTTACACCTGGCATACAGACAGTCACGTTTACACCAATACTCACACCTGGCGTACAATCACCCTAATGTCCGTACTTACACTTGGCATACAGACAGTCCATCATGCTGGTAACAATATCCAGCTTGTTCTTGATGGAGAAGTTGATGAAGTTGGTATCCATAATGACGTGAAAGGGTGGCCCTAGCTGTGTGTTGTAGTTAAAGTACATGGCTGATGATGACTGTGGGCTGTACAAAAAGGAAACGACAAAAACTTTATAAATCAACATCAAATACAAATATCTTCTTTCCAGCATGCACAGACTATAAACTCCGGCGGAAAGTTCTGACTGTTCATCCACGTCTAGACTGTGGTCGTGTTACAGAGCTTGAGTTTTGTATGCACACCAGTTTTACACATCTGGCTTATTTGTAAGCAGACTGCTGGTTCCTCATTTATCAGGCAGAGGCACTTACACAGAAAAAAACACCCCTAATTAGTGGCCTTCTATGGCATGCTTGTTGGGGGCGGTGGGTCTAATCATCCTGACCCCAAAACGGGGCCCTGAAAGCCACACAGGGGAAAAGACAAATCAATCACAGATATTATCATAGGGGCGCAAGGTGGTAGGAATTCACACCAACTGGGGCACAGAACACTGATCTGAAGTAATCAGCTCCCTTACTGGTTGTAAGGGCCGAATGAAAGACAGCCTGCGTGCCCAATTTGTGGCTTTTTAAAATACACTTATGTCATAAATTATGTGTGACATTCTTTTTATTTTTCTACATTATATCTCCCAATGGAACATAAGACTTCGACCTTCTCACATTACTGACTTGTTCAAAGCTAGCTGAATTCTAAAGCTAAACTTCTCAATAAAAGTCAAGAGGATCGACTTCACCTCACCAGATTTTATCCCATATGGCTCAGTCTCTCTCCGCAGAATGGCTAGCTGCCTTTCGAGATTGCTGCACAGAGGACAAACTCTGTAGCTCCAGCAATGATCCCCAGGGATCACCGTAAAAACTGCACTCGTGAACTGAAGGGTGCAGCCATGAAATGAACCCATGACCTTAAGAGGCAAATGGCTTGACCACTTTGCCACGAAGACTCCCGTCTAAAAACTTTTCAATGAGATGGTCTAGTCACACCAACCTTCCTTAGCTGGCTTTAATGACATGCATGTTAGGTCTGGTATATTATGTTTGCTTCCTTTATGGCCAGTTATATAAGAATGTAATAAACTACAAAATGAACAATGTGTTCATCGATATAGAGACCAAACAACCTTTATTTCTGAAGAGTCATGCAATCCTTTAACGTTTGACCCTCGCAAATACTCATCTTCCACGCATTATTTCTATGTTATCTATCTGTGAATTCCATGCCTTCTCATAGCGCAATATAACATTATCGTCTGGAAAGACACAGAGGTGCCAATAAATTAAAAAAGCAAGAAGGGGATAGGGAAGAGCGACCACAAAGGAGGAAAAGAGTGAGAATGGTATGAAGCCAGAAAGAGGAGAGGAAAAGGAAGAGATAGAGAAGACTTGTGTATTACTTACAGTTCTCGTACTGAAATATTCTCCGGATTTGGCTTCCTCTTCGGTTTCTTTTTAACTCTATCCTTGGCTTTCCTGAAGATGAAACATCAAAATGCACTGACCCAATAAGCAAACAAAGCCAACACAGCACAAAAGGGTGAACTAGATCATGTTCTCATTTGCTAAGAAATCAAATAAAAAGATGATACACACACAAATTAATTTTTTTTAAATTCTAAGCAAAAGAGCAAATATGATTTGTTGGTTCCTGCTTTAAACTAAAAATTTTCACTTATGCTGAAATTCTTTTCAACTGGATCACCAGACAGATTTTGTATTTCGAAACTCAACTGAGTTGTCAAACATGTCCATAAAATAAGAACACCAATGGCACGTTTATTTCTCACAGGAACCGCAATATGTTGAGAAATCTCTTGATACCAATGTACTCACAATCTGGAATCTCTCATAATTTGGAATCTTTCGCACATTACCACAGAATTAACTAACAACTACAGTGAAATTTATACGAGAGACAAAATTGCTGATATAGACAACTTATCTCAGGAGAATGAAACAAGAAGAAGAAATCTTTCGCACAACAGTTTAAAATCTTTCTGACAACAATCTGGAATCTTTCTCACAACAATTTTGGAATCTCTCACAAAAGTCTGGAATATTTCTCACAACTACTACAACCAGAATTACAAATCCATAACACAAATGTACTCACAATTTTTAATCTTTCATGCACAAAATTAAAATGTTGAATCTTTCAACGATCTTTATGTAAAATGAGATTCTTTCTTGCAACTACAGGATCTCTTCAACTTTAGACTAATAGGTCGTAATCCCAACTGGTAGTATGTCAAATGTAAAGTTTTCATTTTTCGGCACATAAATGTGTGTGTGTGTGTGGGGGGGGGGGCACTCAGTGTATCTGTTTCAATCTTCTCTTGTCAAAGTGATTCATCTGCGGACAGTGAGACTCCTTTTTTTTAACTTAAAGATTTAGCAACTTGTAGCCCAGTCTGGCAATACTGGCACCAGGAGGCCTTGCGTCATATGCCGTAGGGTCAAACACACTCTAGGTATCAGTTCTGGGAACTTTTTGACCCTAATTGTGATTACCTTTCTTTATTTACTACTTTTAATTACTTATGGTTTTTGTGGTCGCAAGAAGTGCGGCTGGTTTTATGTCGAAGAGAAGATGTACTTAGTCTAGTACTTCCAGAGTGACTGGTGACAAACCCTTGATGCAGATGATGGATCTGAAATGTACTCACAATCTGGAATCTTTTAGGCTGAGAAGTCGTTTCACTTGAGCAAACTTTTTGGTGCGTTTGTCTTTACCCTGAAAACAATTGAAATTGATAGATGAGGGTAAAGTGTAATGATGAAATCTTTTTTTAAAGACAAAGAGGAAAAAGAGACGCAGAAGTGAACAAGTCAGTCACACACAAGAATAATAAAGCTACAAGTGTCCGCACTCAGCGCAGTCAGAAGTAATGTGTCATATGCAGGGTTTTTCCCCAATAATATGGGCTGCCGGTGCTTAACTCATCGCAAATTGTCTACATTACAGATTACAACAAAACTGAAAAAAGAAATGAAGTTAAGTAACAAAAGGATGCCGGTACTGTGTGACACAGTGCTGAATGTGTCCTACTGTTGCCGGTTGCGTAACCGCCAGGGGTGGGGGGAGTTGAGGGGGCCCTGGACATAAAAGTGAATTTGAATATGAACAGATAATTAAAGTAAATTAAAGTTTTTCTGTCGGGGGAAATATTTTAAACATCTTAACTTCCATGGCGAAACTGCAGTGCCGCCCAAATCCTCAAGCTCCCTCCCCCTCCCCCCCCCCCCTTTTTTTTTTAAAAAAAGCCCTAAAAAGTAGTTGAGACAGTATTGACAGTTCAGGTTTAAATAAACAACGGATCAAAATCATTCATCTTTTTGATTTCCAACTGCCAAGGGATTTCTTACGTGAGCAGCAATACACACGAGCGTCCGATTTTACTACCCAGAGAGAGATCAGAGAAAATGAATTACTAGAAGTTCACGTGATAAAATCCCAGCCTTTACCTGGGCCTGAAACCGTAATGACAGTAAAACAAATATGTAAACAAACAACATGATGAGAAAGACTTACCATGGTAGAACTAGAAGTATATTCCAAATCACAGCCCTCACGTCTGTCTCTAGTGTGCTTTCGTTTGTATACTTCCGGTTTTATGAGCGTGAGAAGGCAGTGATGTCCCTTTTTTCCGTAATGAGGCGGTTTGGAATTGATCATGTTGAACCGGTGTTTGAAGGTTATAATTAGGGTGTATGGTGATGTTTCTTCTCTTTTCATCTGCTTGAAGGTTGTGGTTGATTTGGCTCGTCTTCCAACTGGTGTTTTCTTCAAAATTCGTTATCAAAGTCGGGCTAGGCTCTCAGTTGTGAGTTATGAGTTGGCAGCACTCCGGATACTTCCATAGGTGCTCAGATCACCCCTCCCCTACCCCAACCCCTCAACATAGTCAGCAGCGTCACACTTTTAATAGTACCATTCCTATGCTGGTTGACAAGATTTCGTGTGCGTATGGTGTGCTTCTTATGACTGGCTGTGCCGATCTTTACTCGCAGTTCTCGTATTCTTAGCAGATTATTAGTGATGTGGACACTTTGCTTCCAAAAATCTCAGATGTATGCTTCTTCCTCGTCTCCTGCTGCGTAATGAAGAAAAAGGGGCATGCTTTTGCTACTGTCTTTAGCGCTTACTTGATAAGGGCCTAATCCTGATAAGAACGATGCTGTTCAAACCAAACCAATGACTACGCCGGCATCTTCTGTTCCGTTTTGTCCTCTGGCTTGTTTCCAATTGATTGGTTGTGGCTGGCAGGAGGTGTTTTAGGTCTGACAGGGCTGCTTTCCTCATTGCTGCTGTAGCAGGCGGTAGGAGTCCTTGATCTGCTTGGCGTCTTTCCTCATGGTTGTAGTCTACCTCTATTTCTGAGTCACCGTCTTAGTCTGAGGTATCTTCTTGTCTACATAGTTGACAGAGGTGGCTTTTCCCACTCTTTCATCGTCCCTTTAGCGACTTATGCTGCTGCTTCGGTTTCAGAATCCCAATGCCTTTTTCGGCTTTCTTCACCATCACCGTGCTCAGTGACTTGTGCTACTGCTCCTTGTGCTCAGTTTCTGTGCTCGTATCTGCCAAGCTTGCCTTCTGTGTGGGTTGTGCTGCGCTTAACTGTTTCTTCAGTTACTTGATCTCTACTCTTCTTTCGATCCCTGGACTGCTTCGCTTTTCCTTCTTGACACGTTGTATGGAATACTGCCGTCTTTATTGTCTTTATGCATTCTTTGACCTGACGATCCAAAGCGCCGAGATAACTTGCTCATGCTTTCCGAGGCAGTTTACTCATTTCCTGTTTACGTTCAGCTTTCTGTTATCCTAGTCTTTCTTGGACAGGATGCCCTCCCTGTAAGGATGTGTGCCGTGACAGTATCTGCCTATTTCCACCTTGCTATGGCAACCGCTTCTGGTGTTGAAGGCCTTCTGACAAAAGTAGCACTGCAGTAACTTTGGGATGTAGTTCTCTTTCTTCAGCGTTTTATTTCCATAGGACACGGAGCTTGGTACATTATTTACTTCTGAGATGACTACTGTCACTGTTGTGGGTAGGTTGTTTCTGCGCATGATCCTCTCAGTGCTTTGGATCGTCAGGTCTGGGTTTTCTTTCTCCATATGTCGTTTGGTCTAGTCGTTGCTGTTGTCTGTGTTCGTCTGCTCTATCACCCATCGTCTAAGTGGCCGGAATATATTGGCTTCTACTGCTTTCTCATGCTGTAACTGGATCTTCGGATTCTTGCCGTTTCGGATCTCTTTCATCAGCTTGCATGGTTGTGTGTGTGTTGTTGTTGTTGAGTTTTGCCACAACAGTGTCCTTAATCTTGCGGATCTGTTACAGCGTGTCAGAGATGAACGCTGAAGAGGAACAAAAGACTTGGACAGAGCTTGCTCGGGGAGACACGTGTATAGACTTGGACTGGACGGTTGTGGGACTGTGACAGTAAATGTATCTTCTATTAGAAAGCTTAGCGTAGTTTGTATTAGTGACGTATGTGTTTCCATACGGTGTTCTGACAAGATTGTTCATCTGTAACACTTCTTGCGTAATATAAGTTTTCATACAGAATCTATTAAGCAGGTAGTTAATCTTGACATGCATTGTTGGTGGCGTTAACACTGCCCACTCATACTTGGATCACTCACCTTATGCATACCGCTGAGTCTCGCGTGGCGAGGACGGCAGCTTAGTTAGCGCTTTACGACGGTGAGGCGGAATCGAGTCCCTTGGGTATCTATGGGAACGGCTCGGGGTGGATTAGTGAATTTAAAAGCTATCACCACCGGCGTTTCGGATCAAGGAACGTCTATAGGATTGAGGTTTGCTTTAAGTTGAATTGTTCTTTGTACATTAAAGATTATGTGTGTGTTTTAAGTGTGTTATAGGGTAGTTAAGTCTGTTAGCTGGCCTACCCAACGAGCCAGAGCAAGTAGATAATACAGTAGGTCTCTGACACTTGAGAAAATATCAGAAGGATGCTAACTACACGGGACCTTTGAAGCGATGCTTGACACTCTGCACGGATCATGCCAGTCTCTTCCTTTCTCACCATGCTCTGTGAGTAGGTAGGTCTCAAGGGTTCACCTTCTGCTTATGTATGCGATACAGACTGTGACTGTCGTGCTGTTTTGTGTCTCTTCAGTTAGCTGTGATTGTCTTCTTCTTCTGTTTCTGAGCTGTCATTTTCTGCCATGGTTATGGTCAGTTCAATCGACTGGGTTGTCCCATCCAGGCTGCTACCTAAAGCTCTACCATCATGCCACTTAAAATCTCAACCTGGATGGCAAAATAACAAGGCAGATCCCAGATACCCCGTTCAACCTAAACAAACAAACAAACAAAAAAAGTTACAATTACAGCACTCTTAACGGCTAATCCAGCCATGGTTACAGATTTTTCTGCTCACAGGATGGAAATCTGGCTCAGAAGAGTAAACATGCAAGACAATTATGGTTGCTGTGGTGGAGATCTCTGGCAACCTGAACTTCTTGCAACCCACTTCAGAATAGCTACTTCTTCTTCAGCATTCTGAGCCGTTGAGGTTCATTCAGCTCCCTGGTGTAAAGTTTTTAACCTCTTTGTCATATGACATTCTCTCAATTAGCCCTCATGATGCCAGTTGTCAGTGGCGATTTAAACAGATTACGGATTTCGTTGTTGCTTCTCACTCTCAATTCCCGCTGTTTGCATCTTTGATGGGTCCAAAGTCTCTGTTTTCGAAAACTATACACTGAGATCACATTGAGATTTGAACTAGCATCCTCCAAATGACCAAACCACTGACTTAAGAAATGCATGTACATAATTTACATGATCATCTATGTGGGTAGGGATAGGTTATTAATAGTAGGGTCTCATGAAGTCATGATCGCCCATACCAGTTGGCAAAGCACTTGATGACGATATAGAAGCGGACTGAATGTTGAATTAAGAATCGATACCAGAGCACTCAGGACACTCCTATAGTGTTCAGTCCCCATCTTCAGCAGCAAGCGAAGAGTCGCAGTTCCAATGGTACCAGTAACTGTCTGATTGTAAATCATTAACATGACTATATATGCATGTAGGGATGTAATATCAGTGCGGTCTCATCTGGCGTGCCTGAGTTGTTTTGCTTATACCCAACCCCTGACCAGATTTCTAGAAGTCACTGAGACCATCATATGTAATGTGAGGTAGACTGGAGTTGCAGTGAGTAGCCACTCCCCTCGTTGGAAAAGGTCCTTGATTTCTTGTAAGCTGGTTTATTCCTTTAATAATTCAACACAAGGCCCAAGAGATATAGAGGTGCCAAAATAAATAAAATCTTTTTAATTACCGGCTGTAAACTTCAACAGAAAGTTCTGGTTGTTTATCCACTTCTGGTCGTTAGTCTTGTTCCAGAATGTGAGTTTTGCTTTCAAATTAATTTTTACAGATCTGGCTTATTTGTATGCAGACTGTTGGTTGAAAGCCTCAAAAGATGAACCCCGACTTCAAAGGAAAATTAGCTGACTTCCATGACATGCTAGCTAGGGTTGGAGGGTTGGTAATGAGTCTCCCCTCTTCACAATAGGAACCCAGAACCCACACTAGGATACATAAAGATAGGATGTAATTCATGGAGACAAAAACAGAGGTTTGGGAACAAATTAAAAGAATTATTGAGAAAATAAAAATAAAAATTTTAAAAAAGTTAAAAAAATAACGTTACACTATCAGAATTCAAACTGGATGGGATAGCTGAAGGTAGTCTAGCAAAAGGAAGACAATTATAAAAGTGGGAGGATAACATTAAGAGACGGCTGAATAACAGCTGAACGAGGTAAGAGACAGGGAGTGTTGGACATATACTGATACTATTCAATGTGGAGATGAAACTGATGTAATGATTAAATGAACACTTGTCTGGTGAATAGCAATGATGGAAACAAGGGTTGTAATTGTAATTTAATTTTCAATTAGTAAAAATTGGAAAATACAAATATTCATTCATTCATTGTCCTGTCGTGCCATTATAGGTCACATAAGATTTGCAGTGTATTTTGCCATTCTGCTCTATCATGTGCAATCCCCTTGATATCATGGGTAGAATCCAGTCCGGCAGCTTTGGCCTCTCATCAACGTTCACCTTAGGGTTTCTCTAGGACCTTCCTCATTGCATCTATTTCCCAATTCAGTGTCTGTCTAGTAAATCTCTGTTTGTCTCTTCTCACTACAGTGCCATCTTCTCTGTCTTAAAAATAATACACAAATATAAGTATATACAAAACATCATCATCACCACGAGCCTTGCCAGGTCCCATAGGTGCTGTCTCTTTATAAATCTTGGTCTCTGGTGTTCAAGATCAGTCCAATTGATAGAATTTCTTCATGCACCATTTTAGTTCCTGCGCTGATTCCGGGCTCCCCATTTTGTGGGGGGAAAACAAGAATAGACCCACTGCCTCCTCGACAAGCATGTTGTAAGAGTCGACTAACTGGAAGCTTCTTTTGAAGTCAGAGAGCATCTGGCTTAGAGGCAAGGAACCAAAAGTCTGCATAAAGATAAGTCATT